CGCCCGCCGGGCGAAAAAAGCTGCTCCCGGTGCCCCTGGTCTGCTGGGGACCGTCTCCAGCAGACCAGGCTTTGCTCTGGCAAAGCCTCAGAGGCGCGGGACCCCGCCACCGCTGCGGCTTTGCTCCCGGTGTCCCTGCTCTGCTGGGAGGGGGGGGTGCAGCCTAGTGTGCCCCCCCCCAGCAGACCAGGCTTTTGTTGTGGACCCTGGGGCAGAGCAGCTGGGGCGCTGCCGGTTGCTTTTCTCGCCCTGGAGGTCGAGGTGGCGGGACCACTGCCTGTGAGCTCCGGGGCGAGAAAGCCCCGTTCGTAAGTGCGGATCCGACATAAGTCGGATCCGCGTAAGTCGGGGACTGTCTGTATGTTCTTATATTGTCAATAATAGTTCCAGAGTTCCACGTTCCCTTCCACACAGCTGTCGCATAGTGTCCACACCATACCCCTCCTCCTGGCTACTTGCTTGATATGGGTCAGAAATTTCGTTCTCATATTTACCAGTTCAGACCACAGCCCGAAACCCTTCCACACTTCATCTCATTGTAGGCTAGATCACAGACTCTAACATCTTACCTGCCATAAAACAAGCAGACAGAACAATCTCTGGTTCTCCAGAAAACCCAATCTACCTCACATTCAACCATTTGTAGACAGATCAGAAACTCCATTATATTTATATATTATCCACATTTCAAATATGAATCATGGATCCTGCTCTCCAAATGCAGATCAGATTTACATCATCTTGATAACCCTAGACAAAGAGGCCACATTTGGTGGGCTACCATAGTCACTAAAAAAAACCTCCGAGCCTCCTCTTTCCGAGAAGAAAATACATAAGTAGTAACACACATCTAGGATATATTATCTTAACGTTTGCTGTGAATGATATTGCAAATTCCAAGGTTGTTTTAATCTTATGATATCTCCATAAGAGGTATCATAACTGGTGAGATGGAGTCAATGAAAGTAGCCTAGGGAAGCTTCACTCCAGATTTCCTGACCTTTGAATATTTACTCTATGTGAAATCTAAAAAGATTACTGTTTTATTAGCTTCCTTTTACTCAAGGTGTCTATATTTAAATTTTTAATTGTATTAAAAGTTCTCTTGTCTGTGTATCTGCCTATAGGATAATTAATTAGGATTCCATTCAGATCAAAAATTCCACACAAGGCAAAAAATCCTTAAAGTTAGAACTTCTTAGAAACAGTTTATTTTCTACCAGCAACATAACAAAGTATCTTTAGGAACAAATTCAAAAAGTTACTCTCAAAGTTTCATTAAAACATACAGTTCTGCTAACCAATGCAATTTCTGCTTAAAGATTAATTTAGAGCCAGGCTATTATAGTTAATTGTCTGCTAAAGGAATGCAATAAAAAGTGTTGGAAGAAGCGCATGGAAAGACCGTATATGCATTTCAGATATAACATTTCATTTCAGGAGGGCAGATCATCCATGAAGATACTGTTGAGCACTGCAGGAGAGAAGGCTATGTGAAAATTCATTGCAGTGATACTTACAAAGAAAATGGTGTCTTGTTGAGAACACAGAACAATGCTAAATAGAAAAATTAATTCCCTCAACTTTAGTGTCTATATGGTTACCCATTAGGATGCATTTCTAAGCACCTGCTATTTTATACACATTGCTTTGAAAGAACACCACGTCCAGATGAATGCTATTTCTTTAATATTTCAAATAAAAACAGAGACTAGGCAAAACCCTACACCAGCTCATTTGCCATAGCTTTCTATAATGTAATCATACATAGGGCTAGATTCTAATCATCCTTAAGCACATGAAGTTATCCTTTACTTGGTGAGCAGTCCCATTAAAACCTATTGGCTAGATGATTCCTTAGATGATATCTTACAAAGGGAAGTGAGAAAGGCCCTTACCCTTCTACATGAGCTATGTAGACCTTAGGTCTGGGCACAAAGGAGCAAGTGGGCACTATCACCACTTATTCTGCCAAGCCAAAGTACATAGTCAAGGAACGGGCATAACCGCAGCCTTGACTTAGCCCTTAATATGACAGCCAGCACAACTGAGAAAACGTCACTATTGTCATAAGTAGTAGCTCATCCAGGCCAGCAGTGAAACACAAAATTCGCATCTCTGGAGCAAGGGGAAGAAGAGGGTAAACTGTGTGTCTGGAGGAGTGTGGTCTCTGAAGGTATTTTTACACTGCAGTTAAATACCTTTGGCTGGCCTATGCAAATTGACTCAGGCTCATGAGGCTCAGATTAAGAAGCTCTTTAATTGCAGTGTACACATTTGGGCTCAGGCTGGAACCTGGGCTCTAGGATGCTGCAAAGTGGGAGGTCCCCAAAGCTCAGCTGGCAGCCTGAGCCTGAATGCCTACACCACAATGAAGTCAGCTGGCACAGGCCATGTGTGAGCTTTATATTGCAGTGTAGACATACCCTGAAGTACAATTCTTCCCATTATGCAGTGTGTACTCCCCGCCCAATAACTGCACAGAATGGTACTACAGGACATGAATACAGGCTGCCGTCTCTCAAGGAACTGAAGCAGACACTCTGCTAAAATATGGCAGCATCAGCAAGATAAGCAAAAAAATTTCCAAAGAATAAAGAGTTAAGAAAAGGGAAGCACTTACACTCCTTTCCACTTTTAGAACTGTGTTCCCTGCTGTGCAGGGAAATCACAGACTCCAGTACAACAGTGGACACAGCTGTCAGCCTATGTCAACAGAATGGCCAAATCAGCAGCCAAGATACCACTGAAGTTCTGCAATATCATTATCAAAAAGTATCTGGTCCTTAAACCTGTTCTCTTGCTGCATAATCCTAAAATCCCAATTATAAACCTTTAGTGGTACAAATTTGTACTTTCATAAACTCCTAAACATTCATTTGTGTTTTGCTAATATAGTTTAAAGATATTTAAATTATGTCAGATACCTATAATGTGTGGATACACCAAGATCAGTTCAATTTGATCCTGGCTAATTGCTGTCCTCCCTTGGGTATGCTCTTTAGTATAATTACATATTTAACGTCAAGAAAAAAGTCATCACATTCTCCAGTAAGATTTCATCTATACTTTTTGCTTTGTAGAATCCATACATTAGTGTTGACTGACTTTTTGTGAGGGATCAGAAAAATCACTCTGCTTAAGTAGAAGCCTCTTTGTTCTACAGAGTAAATAAAATCGGAGAGACACACACATGCATTTCAGGATTCAAGAGTGTTGTGTTATCTCTCTCCTCTTCTTTATAAGTTTTAAATTAGTATATGACCAAAAACAGTATTTCCCATGAAACAAAAACTAAAACAAACAATTTGTAGCAGGAACATAAAATGGTTACATGGTGCCATCTGCAAACCAGGTAGTATTTTAATGCATTCTCAGTCTAAAGTTATCATTTGAATAAATGCTTTTAGAACCTGGGAGCAGCAGATTACTATTTTCTTTGGTTGAGTCAAAGTAACTTTGGTGAATACACAACAACAATAAAAAAGAAACCATAAAAACACCCTAATTAAACCCATCAATTATAATTTATGTTGGATAGTTCTTATTAATATTTTCTGCCAAAATATTACAGAAGCAGAATAATATTCATTCTGGTACTCAGACACATGCTCTTAAAATAATCTGAGAAACATATCTTTAAAAGAAAAGAATTTCACAAAAATGACCAACATTTTGTCAGAAAACATACTCTGAAATCACTGCCCTTACTGAAGAATTGCTTTATACTTGCTATGAGCTAACAAGATTTATCAGTTGTTACTCGTATTACTATATATACAAATCTTATTCCATTTTAATTTTGTGAACTTGAAGGAGGCTCATTTGACAGGACAGAACAGCTATAGCTCAGTTTATAGTGAAAACTAAAATACATATTTGTTTATTTTAAGTTTATAATGAAGTAGAAAGCATCTCTCCTTCCCCTTCCAAACAAACAAATGAAAAATGTCTTACTTGTTCCGTCTTTTCTGGTTCTTTTCTTTCTGCCTGCAAAAATTGACAGTTTTCCCTTGCCAGCCTCTGGACTAGTTCAATCCGTCCAATGTCATCTCTTTCCTGAAGCTTGCACAAAACCCCTGCCTTGAGAGTTGGAGAAAGAGCAAATAAATACTTAAATCCACAATCCCAGGACATGACACTGCCACAAATTTAACTTTACAATAAGTACATCTTTTGTATCATGTTCACTGTAATTCTGAGCTTTTTGCTGAAGTGAAATAAAATAGTTGCTTCTTGGGAAACAGCACAAAAAGTTCTCAGGCACCGCTGATTTACCCTCCGTATCTACATTAGGAGATTGAAGGCAGGGCTAGCTAAATCAACTGCTATTGTATGTGACTGATATGCTTGTGTTTTATTTGTTCCTGTCAACCTATTTCCTGTTACATAAGAGAACCATAGCAAGAGGTTAAAAACTCCTGGGAAAGTTAGCCAGGAAGAGTTCTGGAAAAAGGGATGGAATAGAATCATTCCTAAAAATAACATAGCAGAACCTCCCATTTTTCAAATCCTACCACTTCTTTACATACATAAGCTAGAGCATTTAAAAGAAAGTTACACAAAATTAATTCCATTATAAAAAGGTATATATGGTGTATTCATTAATTCTTCCATCCTGTTTAAGACAGACAGTGTGGCACACACTAAAACTAGCACTAGATGACAATTATTTTGAAGATAAAATACTACTAGTTACTCTAGCTGATAGCTACAATGGTATTTATATTGATGGTATTTTTAGACTACAGCATTGCTATCTGTTTGTAAAAATGGCAAATATCTTGTGCCTCAGAGAACTTACAATTTAAGTATATGTTTTTTGTTGTGTTTGTACAGCACCTACCACAATAGGGTTCTGGTCTATGATACTATGATAATTCAAATAATTAATAATGATGAAAGCCTAGACATACTGTGCCACCAACATTTCATACTCATAGACACCCTGAAAACTCACCTGAGCTCTTAATGTAAAATATTATTTGATATTGACTCTCCTCTATGTATATGTTGCTTACTGCAAAATCAGTGACTAATCAGGTTCTGTCATCATCCATGATTTGATCACAAACAAACCCTCTGACTTTACTTGAGTAATTGAGACCAGGCTGGATGACGTTGCAGGACCTTTATTAGCCCAGATGTTTCCTGATGGATATCAGCATGAACCTTGGGAGGTTCAGGGAGAGGATGTGCAAAGACAGGAGGTTGTGGGGAGGGAAGGAAAAAGAGCTTCTGCCCTTTTTACAATGTATAAAGGCAGCCTGAAAGAGCTGTACAGTGCGGAAGGAAGGGTTTAAACACAAAATCTGCACACACACCCTGTCCTCTCTCGTGTGTAAATTCAGTTTATCTAAATCTCTGACATATGTAGAACTAGGAAAACTATAGTATCACAAGAAATAAGAGAAATGTCTGGCCCACGAAAGCTCATCATCTAATAAACCATCTTGTTAGTCGTTAAAGTGCTACATTGTCCTGCATTTTGCTAAGAGAAATGGGAAGCTGATAAACTGAGGAGGAAGAGATTTATATTCAGACTATATAAATATCTGATTTCTATATGATTGTGTCAATACTCCAGCACCTAAAAGAACATTTAGGACAAAATGATGCCCATTAAAAATTCATCACTTAAGTTGTAACAACCCAAAGGGCTCTCCCTCCTCCACCTCCCCCGCCCCCCAAAAAAACCCCAAAACACTAACCATTCTTCACTAGCCTTCTCATAGAATATAAAGAAGATGGAGATTTAAAGTTTCCTGGGAGGTTACTTTTAAACACAAGGAATGTCCCACTTTAAAAATGGACTCATAAGAACAGCTCATCTTTTGTACTATATATTTGCGGGGTCCTTGGAGCAGGTAGTGAGGGGCTAAGCTTGCAGTGCTATCAATCTGCTTAGGACTCCAAGCTGCATGTCTCTTTTCATCTGAGATGGACAATGCCATCTCATAGCTTCCAGTGGCTGCTAAGATTAGGACCTTGATTGGAGTGGTCTGTCTGAACTTCAGACTAGACCAAATGGAATTTACATTGTCTGGCTGGAGGAAACATCAGTGGGAGTCAATGGAGGTACCATCTACCCTTTTGGTTCACTCTTCCTGTTGAGACCAAGGTGTACAACCTAAGGATTCTATTGATTTCATGATTATACTTTTGTAAGAAAGTAGCAGCAGCAGACGAGTGTTTTTCCCCCCCCCTCTACTTTTGTCAAGATGACTTGGATCTTTCATCCTGAAAGTGGATTTCACCACTGCTGAAATGCCTTTCCCATCTGCAGATTGGATGGACCTCTGGACATCTGCGCTCCATAGTCCACATTGGCTTCCAAACTAGGTACAATTAAAAGTGACCTATAAATCCACTTTTTCTCCAGGCCCAGCAATTCAAAAGGACCCAGGGTTCCCGGCTGCTGCCTCTACTGCACCAGTGGTGTGGCTGGAGCCTCAGGCAGCACATTCCCGGTGTATCTGAAAGGCTGTTGATCACCCTGTATAAATCCATGTAAGATTCAAACTGGACTGCCTTAAAGGTAGTCTCTCCATGCCTTCTATGTTCCATTCCAACAAATGAAATCACCAGAAGGGCCCACAATAAAAAAAACCTATATTTAAAATGTCTATGAACATAACAATGGTAATACTGGATCAGACCAAAGGTTCATCTAGCCCAGTATCCTGTCTCCCGACAGTGGCCAATACCAGATGCCCCAGAAGGGGTGGACCGAATACAATGAGAAAGTGATTTGTCTCCTGCCATCCATTTCCAGCCTTTGACAAACAGAGGCCAGGGACACCATTCCTTACCTCCAGCTAATAGCCTTTTATGGACCTACCCTCCATGAATTTGTCTAGCTCTTTTTTAAACTCTGTTATAGTCCTAGCCTTCACAGCCTCCTCTTGCAAGGAGTTCCATAGGTTGGCTCTGTGAAGAAGAACTTTCTTTTATTAGTTTTAAACCTGCTACCCATTAATTTCATTTGGTGTCCTCTAGTTCTTATATTATGGGAACAAGTAAATAACTTTTCTTTATTCACCCTCTCCACACCACTCATGATTTTATATACTTCAACCATATCCCCCCACAGTCTCCTCTTTTCTAAACTGAAAAGTCCCAGTCTCTTTAGCCTCTCCTCATATGGGACCCGTTCCAAACCCCTAATCATTTTAGTTGTCCTTTTCTGAACCCTTTCCAAGGCCAAAATATCTTTTCTGAGGTGAGGCAACCCCATCTATACGCAGTATTCAAGATGTGCACGTACCATAGTTTTATATAGGAGCAGTAAGATATTCTTAGTCTTATTTTCTATCCCTTTTTTAATAATTCCTAACATCCTATTTGCTTTTTAGACTGCCGCTGCACACTGCGTGGACGTCTTCAGAGAACTATCCATGATAACTCCAAGATCTCTTTCCTGATTAGTTGTAGCTAAATTAGCCCCGATCATATTGTATTTATAGTTGGGGTTATTTTTTCCAATGTGCATTACTTTACACTTATCCACATTAAATTTCATTTGACATTTTGTTGCCCAATCACTCAGTTAGGTGAGATCTTTCTGAAGTTCTTCACAGTCTGTTTTGGTCTTGACTATCTTGAACAGTTTAGTATCGTCCACAAACTTTGCCACCTCACTGCTTACCCCTTTCTCTAAATCATTTATGAATAAGTTGAATAGGATTGGTCCTAGGACTGACCCTTGGGGAACACCACTAGTTAACCCTCCCCATTCTGAAAATTTACCATTTATTCCTACCCTTTGTTTCCTGTCTTTTAACCAGTTCTCAATCCATGAAAGGATCTTCCCTCTTAACCCATGACAACCTAATTTACACAAGAGCCTTTGATGAGGGACCTTGTCAAAGACTTTCTGGAAATCTAAGTATACTCTATCTACTGGATCCCCCTTATCCATTACCCATTTCAAAGAACTCTAACAGATTAGTAAGACATGATTTCCCTTTACAGAAATCATGCTGACTTTTGCCCAACAAATTATGTTCTTCTACATGTCTGACAATTTTATTCTTTACTATTGTTTCAACTAATTTGCCCAATACTGACGTTAGACTTTCCGGGCTGTAATTGCCAGGGTCGCCTCTAGAGCCCTTTTTAAATATTGGCGTTATGTTAGCTATCTTCCAGTCCCTTGGTACAGAAGCTGATTTAAAGGATAGGTTACAAACCACAGTTAATAGTTCCGCAATTTCACATTTGAGTTCTTTCAGAACCTTTGGGTGAATGCCATCCGGTCCCAGTGATTTGTTACTATTAAGTTTTTCAATTTGTTCTAAAACCTCCTCTAATGACACTTCAATCCAGGACAGTTCCTCAGATTCATCACCCACAGAGGATGGTGCAGGTTTAGAAATCTCCCTAACATCCTCAGCCATGAAGACTGAAGCAAAGAAATCATTTAGTCTCTCCGCAATGGCTTTATTGTCCTTGATTTCTCCTTTTGTATCTTGATCGTCCAGGGGCCCCACTGGTTTTTTAGCAGGCCTCCTGCTTCAAATGTACTTAAACATTTTGCTATTACTTTTTGAGTTTTTGGCTAGCTGTTCCTCAAAATCTTTTTGGGCTTTTCTTATTGCATTTTTAGACTTAATTTGGCAGTGTTTATGTTCCTTTCTATATACCTCACTCGGATTGGACTTCCACTTTTTAAAAGATGCACACTGAACATTTTTAGTAAAGGGCACAATATAAATGCACTGTCCCCTCAATGAGTCAACAAATGTTTTTTGACCTTCAGCACGTCACAAACCCTTGGAATTAATTAAAAAAATAACTTTAAAAATTGAGGGAGTAATTCTATTAATCCCTTCCAGAGCTGGTGTTTGCCTACCAGAAGCCTTAAAAAGAACACTGGGAGTGCTAAGCAGGAACTAACAAATACTAAAAAAGTAAATAGGGGGTCCCTTTGAGCAGCGATGGGCACTAAGCAATTGTTTAATTCTGCTAAGTGTAGCACCCAACACTAATCCATTAATATTCACTCAATTTGTTAATTAACAGTGTGGTTTCTCTTCCACAAATATGTTTAGAGACCATACAGAAAACAGACAACAACAGAC